GCTAGGGAAACTCTTACGGAAATGAGTTCACTTCCTCTTAGCTTGACTTTGGGAGTTCAATATTTTGGGAATGAATTAGTTTACTCTAATGTTCAAAATGGTTCACTGTAATATTTTGAAGCTTACTGTAAAATGTTCCTTTTTGTTAAAATTATGGAAATCCTTCTCTATGTGGTAAATGATGTTTCTTATGATGTTTTATTTCTATATTCATGAATGACTTACTTACTTGGCATCAAAAGTGTAATTTTACTAAAAATTTCTCTTTTTCCATGTTTTTGCATATGTCATACTTAGTACATTATTTGTACAAACCTTATACATTCTTATACTCTATGTATAGGTTTGGACACAAGGAGAAGTTTAGAAGGAAATATTCTGTCAAGACTAACTATGCCCTCATATATTCGAGGGCACATTTCTATTTTCTTAGTTTCTATCTTTAAGACTTATTATGTTTTTATTCAATGTAAAGTGTCGTGTCCCTAACATATTATGTCGTGTGTTTAAGTTTGTCTTGTGATGATGGGATTTTCTGAGTATTTATGGAAGAATTCCTTTTTATATTAAATGTCATGTAATGTTTGAATTTCCTCTCTACTTTTCATGTCTTATGCAATGAATGATAGTTAAAGAACCTGTACATGACCCCAAAGATTCAAGTACGCCTTGTCCCAATCTAAAGGTTCTTCCTAACTTCAAGGGGGTACTTTTGGGTCGTGACATTGTGAGCCTTTTTAACACAGGGAAGTCACTTTAGTAGCGATTCAAGTTTTGTTATTAAGTCCTATTAACAACAAGACAAAAAGAGGTGAATTTCAGGTTACCTAGATACAAAATGGATGTAGTTCATCCATATGATTAGTACATAATAGAACTTTCATACATATATATAGTCTTCCATCAAATTGGATAGAGATATTACCAGATTCATTTGATATTTGCCTACACTAAATCATAAGTCCTAGGCAAATTAAAAATTGATCATATGCTTGTTTTTCTTGTTCTCTGTCTTTTATGTGAAAATATTCAGACCACCCTCCCTTATTATAAAAAGAAGAGAGAAAATCTATTAGTATGGCCAAACATATCAAGAATCCCAAATCGTCTAACTCTAAGACATTATGAATTATGATATAATAGGTACTGAAATTTACATGTTATTAGAGTTCATGTTTCATGGTACCTTCAAGCTTCACGTTTTATTTTGTATATCGACCTTCATAGGGAACTAGACATTAAGTGTGATACAAAACAAGTATTGATGAAGGCAAAGTTGACCTCGACCTCCTACTCTGAAAGATGAATTATTTTTTTTGAGGATTTTCTTTTTCTATCTTAACTATAGATTTATATTGACCTAGCTGGAATCCAAGTATTAATAGTACAACACCTATAAGAATTATTAGAAGATTGGAGAGAGTAAATGGGCGAATCAGTTGTATGTGTTTTGCGGTGAGTAAGGAATATGAACAGAACTATCCCACCTGTGTCTTAACGCTTAAGACAATGTGTTTGCCTTATTATGTTACGATGGTTCTATAGGATATCTCTTAGTTTCCAAAGATGATTTCTTATATAATTAGACATGCTTCATGTTCTATAACTTATCTATTTATATGTCATTTCCCCTTAGTGGATTTTCTTCTCACAATTACCTATTGTCATTGAATGCTTACATGTAAGTGTTATCTGCTTCAGAGCACCCCTTGTTTATTGTTATATTTTTTCTTAGGACCTTTTCCTTACATTTTATTTATTACACTGGTTACTTCCCACATGTCACTTGTCCATATTGTGTGGGTAATTCATGCTAATTGATCATATGACCGTTTCTATATTTTGCATACCTCGTAGCCTACTTGCTTAAATAGTTTAAGCCTTATAGCTTATTTGTCTGTGTTATGTGCTCACTTGATCATATATATTATATAAGTGCTCATTAACAGGTAAGTCTACATATCAATGCAATATAACACACTTTGTCAATGTGATTTGTGTTTTGTAGTTCATAATCTGATATATCTAAATGTCATATCTACTGCATGTCTTAACTTATGTATTCTAGCATCATTTGATTATCTAGTACATTCGTAAATTTTGTATAGTTCATTCGCTCACACGTTACCGTATAGTTCATATACATGCGTACACCATGTATTTCTATAGCTTAATGCCCGTATACCTTGCGCGCTCCTTTTTGGGCTAGTCTACCTATGTGTCATGCCCAATGTGACTTATTCATTTGTATACTATGCCCCCATATGCTTATTGATTTGAGTTTTTGAATAATTTTGGAAAACATTTCCTTGTATCATTATGTAGTGAAGATTTTGACAAGAAAAGTTTGTGCATATATGTAAATTTAGTCAACCATAGATATATCACTTAGCATAATGCCCTATTTGAAGGTGCGGCATAAAACATTAGATTTTATATTAACAAATATGTGTTCTTATAATACTCAACTCTGAAATGCGTCATGAGATAAAATAGATGGGAAAGTACTGCCATGATAGATTAGGCGTATTTTTTTAAGTGTCTGTTCATATATAAAAATTGGGAGATACTATAGTTATTCTCAATTGTTAAGTCCCGGAAGCTAAGCTCAAAATGTATAAATATACGTATTGGGGAAGGAATGGAATATAACATAAGGTACTTTGGAATACAAGATGGTAGAGATCCTACGTAACCCTCTTCATGCAAAACATCAACATAAGCAATGCCGACGAGGCCACACTCTTCACAATTATATCACATAAGCACCGCCACCATAAGTGGACCATAACGATCATCAGAATTCAATGTCTATAATACGCATTATAAAAGAGGTTAGGTAAATATACCACCATTTCAACATCAACATCTAAAATCCACAGCCAATTCAACAAACTCAATCCACAAAGGCTCTTACTAATAGCCATAATCACCAATTCCAACCAATAATCAAACTATACAAAGAGACAAGATAATGCATTATGAAATTCATCAAATTCGTACATCCTATATACAATTCTAACATGTGTTTTACATAATTCAATAGCCCCAAGTAAACTACACAAGAAATCAATACAATAAAGACATGATCAATCGCCCATAAGATAGCAAAACTAAATATTTCATGATGTGCATGGGTTCATAGGAATTTTGATCTAAAATCATTCAATTAATGTCAATTCAATCAGAAGTCCTTATTTCAAATTGTTTTATGCAAGAACCCATGGCTAGATATAAAAATAAAGGAATTCATCTTTTGTAAAGTCATGGAAAACATTTTAAAGTTTGAATACTTAAAGAAAGAGAGTTCAGGGATGAAACACCATACCTTGATTGATTAAAAGCCACGAAAATGGTGAAGAATTGATGGAGAAATCAAGATCCAAGCTCCATCCTTGCTTCAAGCTTCAATGGAGTTCTAGAGATTTCTTCTTTAGGGTTTGGGTTTTAATTTTTTACTAACAACTGGACTTGGGGTTCTAGACTTATAAAACTTCTTAAAATACCCAAAAATCCCTTAAGAAAACGCCCAAACTGTATTTATAAGTCAAGATGAAATACCCAAAATGACCTTGGCTTGGTGGAGACACAAGAAGAAAATCTACATATGCCAATTGATTGACAGAAGGCACGAGCTATAGACCCATTGATGGCCTGTGCTGGTAACCGTCGTTTGAGTCATAGACTCTGCAATATGTGGGCTTATCTCACACACGGAGTATGGAGAAATGACCCTCAAATGACGGGGCTTAGTGGCGTCGATGAGGCGTCATTTGCCATCGTTAGTAAGGACTTTTTTTTGGCTATCTTGACTCACAAGTTGGGGTTTCCTCTAGGGCCCTTAGGTTGGTCCTTGGGCAGTCTTATGTCACACCCCGTATTCTACATGTAGTAGTTCTATTTTTATAACCCTTATAAACTTCCTTGTAGTATAGTTATGGTTTCGGTTTTGTACGCGACTAATAGAAATAGAATAGGTTTTAACGAACTGTCCATAGATTTTGATCCAACCCAATTAAGTTGAGTCACTCGAAATATTTTAACTTGACATCATAAGGTGGTATTTCAGTCTAAAGTTTAAAGTAGCATAGAGTATATATGTTTTAAGTTATGTTAAAGTTATTAAGGTGTAGATTTAGAAAAAAATTGAAGTTCTTTCTAGACTTCTCTAATCTAGTAGGTTACAAGTAGGTACATCACCTACTTTTACTTATTGACCAACCAAAGGACCAAGTTGGTGCATCACCTACCTTGAATTATTGACCAACCCAAAAAACTAAGTAGGTGCATCACCTACTAAGACTTTTTTGACCATGTTATTGGGCCAAGTACACTTCACCTATATGCATCAACCTGGCCCAAGTTGAATACAAGACTAAGGGGAAATGAATAACCAATGACCAATCTTCCCAAACCCACAAGAAATAATTTTAATGGAAAACTAGGTTCATCACCTACTTAGATGTGTGGCCTAAATTAATCACATATTGGATTCAAATGAAATACAATAAAAGTGGGAAAATGCCCAATGTTCTTGAGTCCAAAAAGGGAAAAGAGTCACACCCCAACCCTAGGTGAGGCGGACAAGTACCATAGAATACATGCTTAACAGGTGACCTATGCTGAGAAAGTAATCTACAATGAAGATAGACTTACTGATGAGAAGCTTCATTACAACATATGTTGACTAGCTGAACCAATGCATAAGACAAATGAAACTATGAATGTAGATGATAGCTTTACTATATCTACAAACACTCTATTCAAATCCAATAATGTACTACTATGACAATACACATTGTAAAGACTCGGCAAACCCCCGAATCAACCTGGAGGTCAACAACAACCGCTGAGTATCATGTGATTCTATAGGGGAGATCTACTTTTGTGTACTTGTACCAACAGCATGAAATGCAGTGTCCCTATCAGGGACGTTAGTACAAAAGAATGAATTAAATATGTAAGGAATAATACTATCATATTTAACATGAGAGCTAAAGTGAAACCAAATACAAATACATAAGGATGAGAGACAACCTTTGGTAGTACTTGTTGAATCATGTAGGTTACATTATATCCTTTACTTTTGTATACTTTTAATCTTTATACAAAATGTTATAAAAATGACCAGCTGATCAGCTGTAGATTAAGATGAACAACGCTAGGCATTTCAACCCGTGGGATGCTGTCCTCATAATTCTACAAATCAAGATCAGCCCATGCAAGGATTTCGCCCATAAATTGCCACCCTTCCATACCAATGCAGATCGACCCATGCTAGGATTTCGCCCCTGAGCTGCCACCCCCTTATACCAATTGGTATTGGACAATGCTAAGATTTCACCCCTGATCTGCCACACATAATCATACAGATTACTTCACTTATATTCTTTCATCTTTGATATTTTTGTTTTGTTGTTCATAACTTTTATGAGATTGTTGTTTTGATGTTCATAACTTGTTTCTGATTGTTGTTTTGGTTTTCATAATCCTTTTTTATAATTGGAACTATGGACCAGTTGTAGAAGACATGAATATTGACTTAAGACATTAACAATTATTTGGGAAGTAAATGTTACTTGAACGTAATACTTAGGAGATGATAAGACTCTATAAGCATTTTCACATCACATCCATTGAATACATTAAAATTCAACCAAGATATTTGAAATCTATATTACACAAATACAAGGTATTCATGAATGTGGAACAACCGGGGAATGTGTCACATCCGGGGAGCACCCCTTAGACGTAACCGGCATCATCGTCCTCTTTGAGGACTAAGACAAACCTCTTAGCTTAAATAACATAATTAAGTTAAAATACATTTTAATATATTCATAATATCCAAAAAATTCATACACAAAGTAATTCACAAGATCTATTTCGAGATTGGAAAAGACCCACATGAAAATCTAATATTTGAAATCAATTTGATGGAACCCTTTGAGGAAAGAGGTATCAAGGTGAAATGAATCCCATACCTTACTAATTGATGAAGATTGAAGAAGAAATTTTACCCTTTGAAGACCTTGAACCCACCCCTAGCTTTGTCTTCAATGGATTTCCTTAGGTACAGAAAAAGAAGAGAGAAGGTTGATAGTTTGGGGTTTGGGAATTATGAGAGCTTAGGTTAGTATAATTAGATTAGAAGCTTTATGTAGGTTTTTTAACTAACATAATCAGACCTCCATTAACCCCCAACTAATTAAATAAACCCTTTATTAATTAACTGAAATCAACTTAAAACATGCAACAACTCAGGCCCTCACAAATGAGACCCCGACCAACGGTCCGTCTGTGAGACGACGGCAATACAACACTCCCTTCTATTGGTCCGTCATTTTGGTTGGAGACTAGTACAAAACTAGTATTTATTAAAATTATTAAGTGTTCATGAGAGAGGCAATCGACGCCCCGTCGATAGACACACGGATTGTTAACTACAACTCGCGAGTGACACTGCCTTGGGTAGTCCTTTGACCCCATAAGAAAGGGTCCTCCTCAAGGGCCCTTGGTTAGTCCTTGGAAAGTCGTGCCCAGACGTTTAAACTATGAATTAACTCTAATACGTCTTAGACACCCTTCCACCAACATTCATTATTTTCTGAAAGACTCGTCATAGACGTTCTTTGACATTTTGGTTTCTACAATTCCTAAATGAAGTATGTTCATTAATATAGACCTTAAAATAGTGTCTAAACTTTTTGACACTCGTGTTAGACTCTAGAACATGTCTTAGATTTTTGAAGTGTTACTAAATGTAAGCAAATTCAACTTAAGGACGGATATATATTCCATGTAAATACATATAAACATACAAATGAAAAAGTGGTGATCTTGTTATGTAACATTATAGTCTAACACAAAGAGAGTAATAACAAAGAAAGAGAACATATGAACATGTGACAAGATGACATATCTATAACCAATTGAAGTATGTTGGAAAGATATGGAAAGGTTGTATAACCATCCTTTAAACATTTGTACCATGTGTAATCTAGGACAACTTTGACCTTTATAACACTGTCTTATATAAGAGAAATATGTGCTAGGGGTACTTGGACAGTGAAACAAGATTAAAGTTGCATGCTAGAACTTGGTAGAGTGAACATGCACATTTAGTAACAAAGTCATATTAGACTAGTCACTTCAATGCTATAGGGAGTTGGAACTGTAATTATGGATCATTCACTACCAAGGGCAGTTAGAAAGCTTACATTTTGTAATGCAAGTTTTGGATTCATGTAAAATATATAGTAAATCGGATATCCTTACATACCTTGATATATCAAGACGTATGACTTAAGATCCTTCTCTTCATATCACTAATCTACAATACAATAAGTTGTAAGACTAGTATTAGTAGATAATCAATCAATTTGAGCCACTTGATCGCACCCAAAGAGTAACAAAGCAATAAGCTACAATCAATGTAGCGAGTCTTTTCTTTCCTTTCCTATCCCTTTAATTGCGTCAATATACTGTAAAACCTTCTTATCAGGCCCTCTCCAAAACTGCAGCAATATTTAAGTCCTTCAACGTCTCCATAACTTCCGCGCACATCTAGGCACATTCCTTAACATAACATACGTATTACAATCTTTGAACGTAATAATGTAATAGAAGCAATATGAATCATGGTTTTTGAACACCAGCACTTGAGAAGCTAACTTCACTTTTAAAGTGCTCAAACAATCTCCATAATTTAATTTAAAGGGGACTCCCACTATGGCTGTCCCAACATGCACTAATAACCAGAACATCCTCCCCAATATTCACCACGTAAAATTAATAATTTCCAGCTCACAAATACACACCAATTGTCCTAATTAACTCAAGCAGAAGAGGGAGGAAATTGCAGAAGCTTACCTTGCTGGACATAAATGCCACTTGCTAAGACTTGGATTCTTCAAGATAAAGGTTGTTGTCCTTAACTTGTCTTAAATTATGCCTTGCAATAGTTTCAAATACCTATTATTCAAGAACCCTAATGGCATTTATGGTATGATGTATGAATCTAACAGAGAGAAGATAAAAATCTCTAGAAATCAAATTTTTTGTCAAAGTAAAATGGTTGGAGAAAGTTGATATCAATATCTTTTAAAGGGACGTGCTTTGACAGACTTTCTCCTCATTTTGGGCCATAATTTCTAAAGTAGGTGACCCACCTACTTGGACTTTTCATTTTTAAATTTTTGGACTTAAGAACATTGTCCTTTTTGCCACCTTTCTTGTATTTCATTTTTAGCCAACATGTGTCTTTAATTTGGGCCACTGATTTAAGTAGGTGGTGTACCTAATTTTCCATTAAATTATTTCTTGTGGACTTGGGAAGATTCAGCCTTCGATATATACTTTCCCCTTATTCTTTTATTCAACTTGGGCTAAATTAATGAAAAAGGTGTAGTGTATTGTCCCATTAGAATGGTCAAAAGAATCTTAGTAGGTGATGCACCGACTTGGTCATTTGGGCTATTCAAAAAGTCAAAAAGTAGGTGATGCACCTACTTTAATTCTTTGGTTGTTTAATAAGTCTAAGTAGGTGATGCACCTACTAGTCACCTTGTATCTTAGTGAAGTCAAGCCAGCACCTCATTATTTTATTCCATTTGTAGACCTTTATAACTTTAACATAGCTTAGAACTTATATACACCATGTTACTTTATACTTTATACTCAAATACCACCATATGATCTCAATTTTAAATACTTCCATGGACATAACTAAATTGGGTTGCATCAAAATCTATGGAAAGTTCACTTTAAACCTATTCTATAGCCACTAGTAACATTGGAAACCGAATTCACAACTATACGACAAGGCAGTTTATAAGCGATATATAAATAGAACTAGCACACGTAACGCAGGGTGTTAAACAAAGTGAAAAGTCCAAGTAGGTGGGTCACCTACTTTACAAATTATTGCCCCAAATAATTGAGAAAGTCGGCTAAAGCAGTTGCATTTAAAAGGGTTTGATATCAGATTTATTTAAGCAGTTTCACTTTGACAACAAACTGATTTCTAGAGATTTCATTCTTTTTCTCTTAGCTTAACACAACATCCATAAAATACCATTAGGGTTCTTGAATATTAGAGAGATAAAGCTATTGTAAGGTATAATTTAAGACAAGTTAATGTGGACAACCTTTACCTTGAAGAATTCAAGTCGTGGTAGTTTTGTCCAGCAAGGTAAGTTAATGAAATTTTCCCCCTCTTGTGCTTGAGTTAATGAGAACACTTGGTATGTGTTATGGAGTTGTAAATTCTTTCTTTTAATAGGTATAATAGTCGGGAGGGTGATTAGTGCATGTTGGGATAGCAATGGAGGGGAGTCCTCTATAAGTTTAGTTATTAGTTGTTTTAGTGTTTTAAATCAAATGTGAGCTCTCCAAGTGTTTTAAAAGTAATGTTAGCTCTTCAAGTGTTGGTGATCAGAAACCATGAATCAACTTGCTTTTGTTACAGTAAATAATGTTTAAGGATTATTTTAGATATATTATGATAAGGGATGTGACTAGAGGTATGGAGAACTTAAGGATACTTTAAAGGACTTAACTATTGTAGGGAGTTTTGAGAGGATCAGATACGAAGGTTTTAATAGTTGTGATATAAGGGAGAGTGAAGGAAAGAAACGTTGCCTAGATAAACCGCATGTGTACTCCTTGGTTAATATTTTGACGAGATCAAGTTGCAAAAATTGATTTTTTGCTACTAATACTAGTCTTATAACTAACTTTATAGTAGATTATCAATATGGAGAGAAGGAGTTTAAGTCATTCTTTTTTAATTGTATAACATGGTATGCAAGGCTATTCTATTTCCTTTTATTTGGGATGAATCCAACACATGTAAGCTTTATAAGTGAACTTGGTAGTGACTGATCCATAATTCCAGTTCCTATTCCGTAGAGCATTAAAGTGAGTACTCTAATATGAGTTTGATGCTAAATCCGCATTCTTACTCTACCAAGTATTAGAATGCAAGGTTTAAACTTGTTTCATCGTCAAGTACCCTTGGCACGTATTCCCCTTATTTAAATCCAAGTGATCCGACATTATACATGGTACATATGTTTATATATTGGATATAAATCTGCCCCCTATCAAGACATCTTGCTTGAATTGTCTGGCCCATTATATATGTCATCTTTACATGTTCATACGTTCCATGTATTAGTTATTACTCCACATTGTTTTATACTATTATGATACCATACGAGATGTCTACTTGTTTTATTGTACATTTATATGTACTTACTTGGAATATATATCCGTCCTTTAGTATAATTTGTCCATATTTTTCCTTGGTTCCACATTCATGCATACTCTATCTTTGATATTAGTCAGTGAGTCTATCATTTATAGTCAAATCTTTTTGTTGAATGTTAAATGTCTTCACTTGATATGTGTTTCAATTTGAGATGTCAAAATGCTTAATGAGTCAGAGAATCTCCTAACTATTACATTTATATTACATTTGCTTCGCACGTCATTGTCATTATCGTAAGTCCTTTTTTGGAAGTCTACTACTACTGGTCCACCGTTCCAAATCTCAACAATGATTATGACAACCAAAACAAAAATCTAAAAAGACTTATAAGTATCCAAAAAACAATCTCAAAAATTTGTGAACATCAAACAACAATCTCAAGGATTAAAGAATCTAAGTGAAGCAATCTGATAATTCTGGGTGGCAACCCAGGGCCAAATGCCTAGTATGGGTCGATCCCAAATTGTATAAAGGAGTGGCAGCTCAGGGGAGAAAGCCTTGCATCGACCTATCCTTATTGGTACGGAAGGGTGACAGCGCAGGGGCTAAGTCTTAGCATGGGTCGATCCCAATTTGTGGAATTATGAGGAAAGCATCCCACGTGTTAATATTCGTAGCATCGGTCTTTCTCTCCTACCACTTATTAGCTAGTCATTTGTCTAATGTCTTATAAATATTATAATTCACATAGAAGTAAAGAAAATAATGTAATAAACAGAATTCAACAAGTATAAGCAATGGTGGTCTCTAATCCATATCTATTAGTATTTGGTTTCGATTGAGGTATCATTTTATATATGGTTGTATTGTGCCTTACATATATAGGACATTCTATCTTACAAACGTCTCTTATTCGGGACGTTGCATTTCAAGTTGCAGGTACAAATACTCAATTAGTAGATCTCTCGAATAGAAACACATTATACTCAATAGTTGTTGGTGAGATCCTGGTTGATTAAGGGTTTTGCCGACTCTTTACTATGCATATTTTCATAGTGTTACCATCATGAATTCCGTTAGAGGCTTTGTAAACGTTGTAAAGTTATGATGTGTCTTCATAGTTTCACTTTTCACATATACTGGTTCAGCTAGTCAACATATGTTGTATATTAAGATTCTGATCAGTAAATTTATCTCCATTGTAGTTTACTTTCTCATCATATGTAATTTTTAAAACATGTGTTCATATAATACTTTTCCAGCATACATAGGGCTGGGGTTTGACGTATCATAGCAGTTTATCCTAGGGAATCTACAAAGCCGTGTCTTGTAGAGACAACTTATGAATGTGTTCAGTGCCATAATTACAATTAGGGTGTTGCTTGAAAATTTAGCAAAAGTTACCCTCCATAATTGAGACGTGATATTTCGTAAAGTTAAGAAGTCAATTCTAACTTGTACCTAATGATGATATTAATATCATTCTTACTATAATTAAGGTTAACAATAGCTAAAGTATCAACATGTAGCATACAAAGAGGATCTTAAGTTACCAAAATGTTAACTACATTGAGCTCATTTTATTTGACCGTCCACTCCACAAGGTATGTATTTATGTTATAGGCTTTTTGAGTTGCATTTTTACAAGATATTTCACGGTTGTTTAATGGAGAAAGATATATTACATGCTTAAAAATGATTGGTTACCTAGTTACATATATGAGATATCGCAATTCCTGACACATCTTATTAGGAAAATGTAACCATCTCTTGATTTCTATATTTCCTCCATACCTATAGGATCTATTGCTATATAGTACAGTTCTTCTCAATCTATGATATACTTAGAATTTTCAGCGTTACACTTGTCCTTATAGTTGATGTTGTTGAACAAATTTCATTTAATTGGGAAAAGGTAGTGGCACAATTTGATAGGTGGATTTATCAATGTGATAGTGTTACTAGAGATCCCCAAGTTGGATGATAACGCCCAAAAACTCTCCATATATCAACCGAATTATGTTAATATTTGGAATTTATATTGTATAGACCAAAAGCTCTGAATAAGTAATAATAACTTGTATTCTTTTCATGGTTATAAAACACAGGGATAAGTGTGCCAATAGCTGCATATGATATACGTGTTATCCATATATGATCGATGTGTTGGATATAGAGAATTATTGTACGACTAAAGCATAAGGTTAACAAAAGGGAAGTTGATTGGTTAGAACTAAGTAGTGATTAGTACAATACATAATGGGATCTAGTACGTATAACTACTATTTTTTATTAAAAGATAATTGTAAAATAGGAAGCATGTGAGAACGAAGCTTGAATTACATGGGACGAATATGTA